TTTTTTTTTTTTTTCTTTTTTTGCTGTCTTTACTTCTTTATTTCTTCTTTTTATTGCGCAGATGCAGGTAGAAGGAAGTTTAAGTGGTTCATCCTCGCCTTGTGGGGCGCTACCACTTCTCGTGGATTTAAGTGATGGTCTCGCATCGCAGAGTCTGTGTCGTGCGAGAATGTACGTGAATTTTCTCACAAACCTCCCGCCTCAACCACATCCTTTTGGTATTTTCCTTGAAGAGGCATCACGTTTAAAGACTGCATCAGCTGCAGGAGAAGAAGGAGGAAGAATGACGACATCATCTTCTTTGAACGATCCCATGATGACATCAGAGACCAGTGAAGAAAAAAAAGGAAAAGCGGCATCTAACGAGGATGATGTTACACCTTCGCTACTTGATGCGCTTCGACAGAAACATGGTTATTCTTCTGGTTCTGCTCTGTACCGCATGTGGGTTCAGCAAACGCAGGATTATCTCTCCATGATGGCCCAGCGGATAGCAGACGCCGTCTTAACACATGCAATTCCATTAGTTGTGGATGAAAAGCAAAAGGACCCACAATCATCTCATCTCGCATCCAATGGCCATAAGGAGAATAAGAAAATGGGTGTAATATCCGAGGAGAGTCCTCAATATGACATTCACGTTCGTTTTCTCCCCTCTCCTGCCCCTCGTGCGGTAATTGATCCATCGCTTGCGCAGGCCTTCTGTGCGGAGATCATTGTGCGGGATGTGGCGGCACTGCGCCGACGTGAATTGGCGGCATCGCTCCTGCGGGCGCGTTACACGGCGGTGGCGGCGGAGGGACAAACAGTGCAGAGCGCATTGGCCTTCTGGCGCGCTGTGCAGATGGATGCGGCAGTGGAGGAAGAGGAGGAGGAGGAAGATGGGAATAAACGTGAGGATAAAGGGGAGGAATATAATGAGGATGGAGGAGGAGAAGGAGAAGGTGAGGGAGAGAACACTATGGCGTTAGGTATTAGTACTTCTTCAGCGGTGGTGCTTGGCCGCTGCAGTGAGAAGACAGCCACCGTCCAACAGCTTCCTGCTGGGCCGTATGGGGAAGGAAGTAAAGATACCGATGGAATAGACGCAGAAGGGAATGAGGAGAAGTGTGCGTGGGTGCAGCCACAGATAAAACAGGCAAGACGCTTTCATCATACGCATCCTTCTCCTCTTCACGGTATGTCACAGAAACGACATCGCGTGACGATAAACGACACAACAACATCAACAACAGAGATAACGAAAGCACCACTGCAAAGTACAGCTGGGCTTATGGCTGTATTTTACCTCGCAACTAACGGCGTACTTTATACCGGTACTGTATGTGGTTTGCAGAAGAGAGGCACACAAGTACAAAAACCACATCAATCCGAAACCAGTACGGTGGAGAAAAAGACGGATAACAAGAAGTGTAGTGTAGATGAAAAACAAGTGGAGGAAACACCTGTAACTCGAGATGCGAAGTCTGTATTTTTTCTTCCTTGTGCCTCTAGCTCAAGTTTTCTTCGTGGACTTCTTGGTCTCTAGGAGTGTTTTTTCTTTTTTTATGTTTAACTTCCAATGGAAAGATAACACCTGTTTATATAATGGAGTTTGTATAGTTATGGTCACATCGCGTTTTTACACGCCTCTTCTGCGTCCCATTTTTCCCCTTAAAAAAAGAACAAAAACAAAACAAAATTGTTCTTTCTTCTGTATATACATATAGCTTCTTTTACTATTTTTACATGATCTTTATTTTCCTTATTTATTTTTTATCCTTCTATTATATTCTTTCTGTTATCATCATTGGTTATTAAAACAAAACAATAAATAAAGTGATTACCGAAAGAAAAAAAAAAAAAAGAAATATTTAATCTACTTTAGAGCTTGAAGTTAGGACAGAAAAAAAAAAAAAAAAAGAAAGCAAAGCAAAGCAAAGCAAAGAGTATCCGCAAAAAAGAAAGAAAAACAAACAAACAAACAAACAAACAGAGTGGTCTTACACATAAATATATATAATTTGCTTTACATCCAACAGTAAGGAATAAAAGAAAAGAAAGTGTAAAGATGGCCATGTCAGGTGTTTCTGTCTCGGACGAGTGCGTCACCGCACTCACGGACCTGCGCCACAAGAAGAGCCGCTACGTCATTCTGCACATCGTCGACCAGAAGTCGATAGCCGTCCAGACCGTCGGCGCCCGCGACGCCACCTTCGACGACTTCGTGAGTGCCATCGACAAGACAACGCCCTGCTACGCCGCCTACGACTTTGAGTACGACACCAACGAGGGGAAACGCGACAAGTTGATTATCATCAGTTGGAATCCCGACAGCGGCGCCCCGCGAACAAAGATGCTCTACAGCAGCAGCCGCGATGCCCTCAACGCCCCAACGGAGGGATTTCAGCCCATTCAGGCAAACGACGTGTCGGAACTGGACTACGAGGATATCGTGCGCAAGGTGAAGGCACACCGAAAGGGGTAAAGAACAGAGCAGAGGAGTACTGGAAAAGAAAAGAAAAGAAATGAAAAGAAAGAAAAAAGAGAGAAATATTTACAAAACAAAAAAGAAAAGAAAAGAAGAAAGAAAGAAAAGAAGAAGGATCACACACTTTTCTTAGTAGTGAGATCGAGTCAGTAAGTTAACGTGTGTCTGTGTATGTGTGAGAAAGAGAATGAGTATTACTCGCTTTCTTTTTTTTTTTTTCATTTATTTGTTTTGGTTTTTTTTTCTTCTTTTTTTTTTTCTCATCTAGATACTGTTCTGGACACACCTCCTTGGTGTGTTGCGGAGAAAAAGAGAAAAAAAAGGGCAATCATTCGATGCTCTTTATTGCCGGGAGTAGGCAGGAAATGAAAACAAGAGGGGGGAAACATATCAATAGGGATTTAAAACAATCAAGCAGAATTCGAAAAAAAAAAAAAAAAGAGTAAAAAAAAATTAGAATGAGTGGTAGCGGAAGAGACAGAAAGAAGAAAAAAAAAAAAAAAAGAGGGTGCGTCATGTTAGTAAACAAGTCATGAGAAAAAAAAAAAGGGAAGAAGAGTAAAGTCATGCTTTATTTTGCCGAACACCTCTCTCAAAGAAAGTGGGTGGTATTCTTATAAATTGCATTTGACACGCATTTTTTTTTTTGTTTTCCCGCTGTTATCAAGGCTACTATGAGGTACCCTATTCCATCATTTTTTCTTTTTTTCAAGTGGTCTATTTACATGTGCAGGGGTGTAAATCTCCGTGACGCCAATTTATCCTTTTTTTTTATTTATTTTGTATTTTAGTTTACCCGCCATCTATTGTACTGAGGGGCTTTTTTTGCTATTTATTTCTGTTCTTTTTTTTTTTTTTTCTTTTCTTTTATTCATTATTATTATTGTTTTATTAGCGAAGTAGGGTGAGGGAAATTGACCGCTGTAGTTTGGAGGTTAGCACAGGCCTAACAACCCCCTTACCACACAACTCCCTTTTTGCAGAGATGGGATTTGCCTTTAAGGAGGTTGTGGCATCTACACAAGAAAGTACTATAAAAACTCCAAACCCTTTAACTTCACTCTATGCGGAGGAAAAAAACAGAAATGGTTCACGGACCAACACAAAGCGGTTGAACTCATCAACAGAACAATTGCCATCTTCGTGTGAGAGTACGTCGTTAAACCAGTTTCCCCGTCAATTAGTAGGAGTCTTATGGAATCAACTCTTCCCATCACTTATTGCGCCTTTTCTTCTCCCGCGTGATGTGGCGCAGGTGGCTCTCGTTTCGCGCACATTATACCACGTAACACAGAGACCAGAAACATGGAAACATATGGCGGTAGTGTTTTTCGACATTACCCCCGATGCGGCGGAATCATTGGAGGAGTTATTTTGGAAATTATACCGTACAGAGATGAGTTTTCGCGAATCTGGCTGCAATAAGAGTAATAGTTTAGGTGAAAGTCGTGTACAAACAGTAAGTGTGCGAAGGACGGAATCACCATCAAAACTTTCATTCACTAATGAAAAAATTTGGATGCTTGAGGGAAAAGCAATACACACAACACCCTGTACTCCTTTTTCAAGATCGGATACTTATACAACCGTGGAACGCCACTGGGATTATCAAGAGGTCTCCGCACTGGAAGAAGAAAAGGAAGAAGAAGGACAAGAAGAAGAAATGTTATCCCTTCAAGAACTATATCAGGAACATGAACAGCAGTTTGAGAAACCAGATGGGTTTCTTTTACCAAACTTCTGCCCTGTTGATTCACACTTGGTGGATTCATTTGTAGTCAGGAATGATATCAGTCAACTACAAGGGAGTATTAACAATATTGAGGATAGTATTGTGTTGTGTAATGATATTCAAAGAGCGAATGAATGGAGTACACATGACTCACCGCTACCAATCCAGCCGCAATCTTTACCGCACCACTATGAACGACATGATGTGGAAGAACTATCTTATAACTCTGCTGATGAAATATGCAGAAATTCTCCATTGCGGCATTGTGAAGGATGTAGTCCTCTTATACAATTATCACGTCGTCATTTTTTGGATGTTAACACTAATGACTCCCTTTTACTTGAGGCTTTACACTGCTGGACCTCTGTAGAAGTTGAAGCTCTTATGGGGAGTGAAAGTGATTTAAAGTATGAGGAACTTTTAGTTTGTGCGGCCACTATGAACCGAACGGCACAACAGAGTCATGAACCTTTTCCATGGAAGGCGTATTACAAAACACTCTACGAGAGACGTGTGGGTTCTTTTCTACGTTCTCTCAGATGTATGCGTGATTTGTCGCAACGTGCGCTTTCTCTTGGAGATGTACATGCAGCTGTAGAACATCTCACTTCGGCCGTTAATACTATTTATCAAGGGGGTTGTTCAATGAGTGGACGGGGTACAGGAACTGTGGTGTGTATGGAATTATGCCGTACATTACGACTACGTGCTCATTTGTACCATCGACTAGGAGAGATGGAATCTGCATATAGTGATTTCTGCTTAGCAAATTTACTTGATCATAATAATAATAGTATTAATAATAATAAAATTGGGGATGAGAATGAGGTAACGTTATTTCCTTTTACTCCAGAAATGGTTCCTAATGGTGACTTTAACTGTTTATCATCATGTTTAGAGTTTGAGTACTCGCAGATGTCCGTGCAGAAGGATGTATTTCATCGAGCTGCCTTTTTACAGAGATGGTTACATCATCATGGAGCCTCCGTATTCTTATACTTGCAGCAATACATGATATGTGATGATTTAAAAATTGGAGCGCCTCATTTACTGCAACGAGCAGCGGAGTGTGCAACGACGTATGAACATGTTCTCGTACAGGCATGGAAGTCGTATGATCGCGGACAAACAGAGTCTGCGGTGAGTGAGGCTGAACTCGCTGTTTCTATGCTGCCGCTTTCCTTCCGTCTGCACGCGGAACAGGTTTCGGCGGCCCTTCAGCCGCTTCTCGCCGACCCCGTCGAGGAGGAACTTCTCCGCTTCTTCCGCACCAACCCCGAATCCCAATCACAATCGCAATGGCAACTCCCATCGCAACATCAATCACAATCCCCCACCGCCGCCTTTGCATATTATACGCTTGGATTTATGGCCCAAACTGTTCCCGGCGTGGGCTCCGCGGCCCTCTTGTCGTTTCTCGCCCTCAGTCACTCCGACACCCACCGCGCCGTTGCGCTGCGCCTGTTGGCACACGACCACGCAGAGAGAGGCAACACCGGCAGCGCCGTGTCTCTGCTGCGCATCGCCCTCCAACTCAGTCCCAACACTTATTCCCTCTACAGTCATCTCGCACGACAGCAGATGTTGGCAGGCGACAAACTCGCAGCGTACACCACACTCAGCAGGGCCATTGAGAAATGTCGCCCCATACCGGCAGAAGCGTTTGCGGAGCGGAGTCGCTGTCGGCTTCTGGATCCACTGCTGGATGTGAACGAGGCAACATGTAGGGATCCACGGATGTCGTACCCTTATCAAATACGCGCAGCTATGAAAATGGACCAGGGCGACAGTGAGGCCGCCATCACGGAAATAAGTCGTATTATTTCACTCACATCAAATCCAAACGATATATTGTTACGTTCGTGCTTTAGGCTTGATTCCGGTAGGCAGGAAGGAGTTCTTGAGGATCTTGTCATGTTGGTATTGCTCGCACCACAGCAAGAAAGTTATCGCGAGTGGCTTCTCCGCTCTGCAGAATTTTTCTCTGGAAGTGAGAGCAATAATGACACAAATGTTAACATTCTTACCAGAGGGAGCAACAGTAACGAGTATAGCAGTGACGAGGTTAAGGGTGCTGTGCGCAGAAATGCCGCAGGTCTTAAAGCCCTCTTATCTGCACTCGGTCTGTAGAAGAAAGAAGGAAAAAAAAAAAAAATGAAAATTATTTGGGTTCTTAGCTAATAAATTGAAATTTGTCTTTTTTTTTCCTGTATGTAATGTTTCTTTTTGTATGTGTGTCTTTTTTTTTTCCTTTATTTTCGCCTAGTATTCTTGTAGGTGGTCTCGGTTGGATTATTTATCATTTCTTTGCGTTTTTTTTTACTGTGTGAGTGTGTGTGTGTTTGTGTGCTTGTTTATTTCTCTCCGTTTGAGGCGGGTATCACCTGTACGTCTCTGGCCTTTCTGTATTTATGTACTTTTGCTTTTCTTTTTTTTTTTGTTTTCCTACCTATTTAAGCAGATATTTATATATGTTTCTGCTTTTGTGTGTTAGTGTGTGTGTGAGTTCCTGTCTCTCTCTCTCTCTCCAACATTCCTGTACCTTCTCCAACTTGTTATTTGTTCTGCAATGTGTTTTATTATTTACAGCAAAGCAAAAAACAATCTAATACACAGAAATATGAGAAAGCAAAAGGCTATTAACTTATTTTGCCCCCATTATTGTGTAATGGGGTTGTCGCTTTTTTGTTTTCCTTGTTTTTTTACAAGGAGGAAAAGCAACTCATTTTGAATGAGTCTGTGGGTATAAAATATGCATTTGTGTAATCGTGGGTAACACAGAGAGAAAAAAGAAAGAATAAAAAAAAAAGGCTGAAATGTTACCATTTCTTTCCCTTTTTTTCTGATTTGCATATATTCCTATATGCATTTTTTTTTTTTTTTTCGATTTACACATTTACTACCTTACTCCGTTGTGATATTTTATTTCGTCTCTTTTTTTTTCATGATTTTGTTTTATTCTTATTGAACTAATAAAAAAAAAATATATATATATATATATATGCTTCTGTTTTAATTTTCTTATTATTATTTGATAACCGAATAAATGTAGTGGTTTTCTGAGTTGTTCCTTTTTCTTTCCCTTTGTGTATTTTTTTTCCTTTTTTTTTTCTTATTCTTCTTTCTTACTTTGATCTTTACCACCAATACAAACACACACAAATAGCCATTTGAGAACCGCGGGTAACAAGAAGAAAAGGAAAAAACAAAATATCTCGCGGAAAAAGATTTAGAGAAGACTTCATCACTGAAGCGGTTGCAGGGCGTTGGGTACAGTAAGCGCCATTGCCGCCACCCCTCCAACCCCCCTGATCGCTTCAGTTGCCTGGTTTGTATATAAAGACAGAAGGGGGTATATCGGGTGGTTTTTTTTTTTGGTTTCTGTGCATTTGGTATATTTGCTCTTTTATTTTCTTAGCAAAGGGGGAAAAGAATACCTGGAAAGAGGTGTGGTGGGAACGGAATAACAAGAAAGAAAGAAAAAAAAAGAAAGAAAGCAGAGGAAAAGAACCTTATCGTTCTGTGATAGGTTAAAGAGATTCCAACTCCACACAGCATTCCATCAGCATTATTATTATTATTATTATTATTAGTACCATTATTATGAGAATTTATTCTTTTTCCTCTATATTTATTCTGGTAGCGTATCCTTGGTTGACAAACCATGTTCAGTCGGACGTTTCAGAGTGCCATTCTAAATGCAGAGGGTTATAATTTGCCGAAGGAAGATGGCCAGAAAGAGCCACACAAGATGACATATTGGTACTCCTATATTGATCCAGCCCATAGTAAAAAGGAACGCCCTGTTGTAGATGTTTCTGCGCCTTATAATCCACTCGATGAGACACACCAAGTACGTAAATTAGGTGTACAGAAACTCGCACTTGGTTTTATTTCCATGAATGGTTTGATAGGAACCCGAGAGGAGGTGCCGTATACGGACTCCTTGCACACTTACGAATGTGTGAAATATTGGATGATTGGACTAAACGTTTGGTACCTTAACTGGTTTCTAGCCCGCGCGGCCAACTCCTACGGCCCTCTGGGAAATCCACGTACGAAATTTGCGTGGAGTATAGTGCTGGCGATGGGCGTACTGCGGGTGAACCTCGCCGGCCTTGTTGGCATTGGCGGTTACTTCTACTCCTACGAGTGGCTCTACACACACGGCCCGTGGCCCTTCCGCATTCGCGATCCCTCACCCAACGGCTGGAAGCGGGCGTGGGATGAGGGGCAGTCGTGTATGCTGCCGCGGGCCGTCGCTAGTATCTTTCCACCGCTTGGATACGCCATCTTCATGGGGCGCTGGAAGAAGACATCCTTCTGGTTCGTGACAACACTCGTCGCTGGATTGCAGTACGAGTACACACGGAAGTGTATTCTTTCTGGTAATAGACTCTTTTACAGTTATGAGGCCAATCGTGAACTTAACCGGCAGGCGAACTGGGGATCTCTCAGTCCTGTACTCGCACACCGCGTGGATCCAGATACGAATCGAAACGCTAGCGTCGCACAGTTTCGATACTTTCGTCTCACCAGTGGCACAATGCAGGATACAATTTGGGAGAACGCCACACATGAGAATCATCCATTCTGTCGGGCAGGCATGCGGCTACCAAATCCATACTTTAACTGGCAAAAGGCTCCACAAGCGTATAATGATAAACCATTTACCAGGAAGAATGATTTGTGGAGTATGCCACAGGTACTGAATGCTCAGATGCGATCATCAACGATGGACAGGGTTCCGGCCAATACGATTGGCTGAAATGAGATGAGAGGGCAATAAATATTATATGGAGGACGAAAAGAAAGAAAAACCAAAAAAAAAAGAAGAACAACAACAACAAATAAATAAATGTTCAAGTAAAAAATAGAAGAATAGTAGTAGTAATAGTAGTGGTAGTAGTGTATTTTCAGTGTTCATCTTCTATGCTCGAACTAGGAGAATGAATAAAAAAAAAAAAAATAATGCAATGAAAAAGGAAATGAAAAAAAAAAAAATTATTTCTTTATGGGTTCTTGCTTCTTAGTGTGTTGGGAAGGGGGATAAGAGGGAATTTTATAGGGGGTTTGTTAATGGGAGAGGGGAGTGGGTGTGAGGAGATCCAAGGAGTCCTTTTTTTTATTTTTTGTTATTGATTGGGAATAACTGAAAGTAGTAAGAAGAATCATCATCATTATAATTATCACCAGCTACGGTAAGCACCATAATCGAAAGAAGAAGAAGAGGGAGAGAGAGATGACAAAAAGTAATGAAGAATATTGATTTTCTTTGATAGGCTAAAGAAAGAAAAAAAAAAAAGAAGTAAAAGTGGTTGTTTTTTTATATGATGATGACAGATTCACAAGTTTTCATTCCCATCAATTATAGAAGAAAGATGAGGTTTTTTTTTTTTTACTTTGTTTTTAGTTTAACATATTTTTTTTTTCTTATTTCCTTTCTTCCTTTTTTTTTGTTTTTGTTCGTTCCACGCCGTTGCTCACTTTTTTTAAAATTTTCTTTTGTATTCTTGTTTTGCTTTTCAACGCCGTGGTGCTGTTTATTTTCTTTTTTTCTCTGGGTGAGATGGGGTTATGTAGGGAAATAAAGGCTGTATTTACGAGAGAAGAAGAGTGAGCAGGATGAAAAAAGAAAAAAAGAGGAAGAGGAGGGTGTAGTAGTATCATATGTGATATGTATTCATTAAACTTAGTAGCTGTGACTCAATTAGGAATTGAAGGGATATTTATTTATTTTATTTATTTATTTTTTTTTTTTTTTCCCCTCCTTCCCTTATTACTTGGTCTCTTTTATATTCCTTTTTTTTTCGCATGATTGTGTACAGTGTGTGTGTGTGTGTGTGTGTATGTGTCTCGGCGTCTATGAGAGTGTGAACTATTTTTTAGTGGAGATACAATAAGAGGAGGGCTTTGTGTAAGGTTAGTAATGATGAGGTGAGGAGTGGGAAAGGGAAAGTACAAACAACAAAAAGAAAGAAAAAAAAAAAAAGAGGAAAGAATGATATATTGACGAGTAAAGGACATATTTCTGATGTTGCTGTTGCTTTGGAGAAGAAGCATAATATATATATATATATTTGAATTTGTTCCGTACTCTTTCCCCCTTTTTTTATTTTATTTTATTTTTTGTTTTCTTTCTTTTCTTTCTTTTCTTTCTTTGCTTTTTTTTTTCTTTTTTGGCATTCTCTTTATTTATTTGATTTGCCAGAAGCAAGAGATTTGGTATGATTTTATCTCTATTTATCTCTCTTCCCCTACTGTTGCTGCATATAAATGTAAGTATGAGTATTCGTTAACCGTCTCTCTCTCTCTCTCTTTGTGTGTGTGTGTTGTTGACGGTGCAGCAGTGAGATGGGATCCTCATGCAAGAAGGTCAATCGTAAGAGAATGAATATCTATCTATGAATGTATGAATGTATGTATGTAGTGAGAGAGAGAGAGAAAGAGAAAGGAGGAAAGAATAAATGAAAACAAGATAATTCAAATAAAAGATGGAACAAAGAAAAAGAAAAAAAAAAGAAAGAAAGAAAGAATAAAACGTATATATATATATATATAGTCCACCTCCAAAAAAAAAAAAAAAAAAAAAAAAAAAAGGAGTCATAAAAAAAAAAAAAAAATAGAAGTTTTGATGAAATTACTGTAATGGATTGACACAATGGCGCTGCTTTGTACCTTCTACTTGTTTAGTGCGAGCGAAAGGCATTTTTCTATAGGCTACTGCACTAAATATATGAGTTCATATTTTAATCACTTTACGTGTATATGTGATAATGAATGCGTTTTTTTTTTTTTTTGTTTTTCTTTAAAACTCTTCTAATGGTAGTTTAATTTAATTCCTATATTTACTATTTGCTTCTTTTTTTTTATTTTTATTTTTCTTATCTTTTTTTTTTTTGCTCTTTCTTGATTTCGTTTTTAGGGTGGCGGCATCGCATTCTTACGGTTACCATTGTTGTTACGGTTCTTATTCGGTTCTCATACGCGTGGGGGCAAAAGAAACAAACAAAAAAAAAACCAAACAAACAGGGACCAAATAAAAAAATAAAAATAAATACAGCGTCCTGAAGCTAATAGCTACATAGCTATTTATTCTCTTTTTCTTTAATATATATATATATATATATATATATATATATATATTATCCGTGTAATTCCCATGACGGGGACTACGTGCAAAGAGCGCAATGCTGCTGCTGTGCAGCGCCTCTTCTTGAGGGGTCAAACCTCATCGCGGCCGCAGTTCATGACGCCCAACGCCCGCCTCTACGACGGCACACTACCGCCGGAGATGCACTTAAGCAACCAGTGGCAACTCGCCCATGAAGTGAACGGCACTGCAGTCCAGCAGTTCAACAGTGGAACGATTACCCCAAGCAGTCGTCATATTGACTACGGTGATCCATCCTCGTCGTGTTACTCAATGAGGCGAATGATAGCCCGCCATGCGTGGGAGTCGCACGAGGGGGCGAAGGAGAAACTGCAGGGATTGGGTCCTAATAACAGTAGTAGTAATACACAATTAAAGAAGAGGGAACGAAAAGCCGCAATAGCTCGTGAAGAGGCAATTATTCGCTATGAATTATCTATCCCACGTCGACGTGTAGTGGGTCATCTATCGCAACTCACAGAAGCACAAGGAGATCTCGTGAGAAATATACCGACAACTCAGGCAGCTGATAAGCTCGTGGCCCGTTATGGTGGACGTTGGGTATTACAGAATCCTCACAGACAACAGTTGCTGCATGGGGAACCAGTCATGACACGAATCATGCACGGTGAGTTTTACTGTCCTCAGCAGAAGAAGGTAAAAACTCCAAATTTTTGTCAAGCTAATAAGCGACATGTTCGTATAGCGAGTGATATTAATTATATTCTACACCAGAGAGAGATAAATTAGAGCGAAAACCATAGAAACAAACCAGTTATAGAACCCAAATTGGATAAATTGGCAACAGTTTTAGTGATATCATTATTATCATTGATGATTATTATTATTATCATTCTGTGCGTATATTGGTAATAGATTGGATAGAATTATGTGTGTTATAGTGGTTACACACCCATGGATTTTATGGAGCAAGTTGTTTGAGTGACAAACATATATAACACAGTCACACACACAAAATGATAAAAAAAAAAAAAAATGCTGATCTTTGCTTTTTCTTTACCCCCCCCCCCTTTTTTTTTTTTACCAATCACTGTTCTTGTGTTTTGTTCACGTTTTCTTTCTTTTGTGGGTGGAGGTGATAGTGTGGTGTGGAGTGACACTCTGACTATATTTTTCTTTTTTTCTTTCTTTATTTTAGCATCGTCCTTATTTTCTTATTTCTCTCTCAGTCACCCCCTCAACATTGAAGAAAAAAGGAGAAAAACACTCTGAATCCCAGCAGTTGCAAAAGGAAGAGGGGAGGAAGAAGAAGAAGAAAAAGAACAAGAACCACGAAGGGTGTGGATAATACAAGTACCCCTGTACGCTTCTCCCACCAACGTAACGGAGTAGGGTACCCGCACCCTGTCTATATCTCTATCTCTGTAGATATCATCTTATTGTTATTCTGGGTATGAACTTGTTTCTGACGTATCGTGGTAGTGGTAGTAGTGGTGGTGTGATGATGTTTATTCTTGTGCGTGGGGTTCGTCTGACGGCGCAGTCTCTTGCCTCTATGCGACTGACCGGAGTTCTCTCGCCGCTGCTGCTTGGCGATGCGATTGCGGGGCACGTGGCGCTCTGCGGCCGGGCGCAGATGGAGGCGCTTCTCTTCGTGTCGGCCCGCCTCGCGGTGCACTCGCCGCGGTGTCTGGCGCTGCTGCTCGAGCGGGCGGCGGGCGGCGGGGGGGCGGCCGCGTGGATTGCCCGCCAGCCGCTCGGGCGCCAAGTGATGGCCGTCGGACTCTGCGGGACCGCCGCCCCCGCCGCCGCCACCGCCGCGGTGCAGCTCTCCGTCTACGCCGCCGCCCTCGCCGCCCGCGTTGCCGCCCGCCCCGCCGCCGCCGCCCTCGCGACCCGGCAGTTCTGCCACGATGCGACGACTGTCGTGGCCGCCGGCGGGGCGTCGATCGTCGCGGGTGGCTGCGGCGCCGTCATTGGCGGACTGCTGCTGCCGGGCGTCGGCACAGTGCTCGGGTCCCTCGTCGGCTCCATCGGCGGCGGGTATCTGCCGTATCTCCTCCGCAGCAGCGGGCCCTGCGTGGAGTGGGAGCAGAACCACATCCTCATGCGGGAGGAGGAGGACGAACACGGCTGCCGAAGGGTCCTCGCCATCGCCGAGGAAGAAGGCGACTGGCTCATCATCGCAGACACCAACGTCGACTCGGAGTTCATATTCTGTGATATAACAGCAGCAGACACCAGCAATAGCAACGTCCATTTCTGCGTAGAGGAACCACTTGTGGGAAACGCAAGCACCACCAGCAGACAGAGTAGTATCTGTTGGTGGGATTGTGATGAAAATTACAGTGTAGAGAAAGAACGATATATGGACGCAGCAGAATATTCTTGGATGCTGACCAGTGAAGCGGACGCCATTTCACATCTAAATACGGTAGAGGGAAAAGTATAGAGAAAGAGACTGAGAGAGAATGGGGGAAAGAATAGAGAAGAGAATGATAGTAAATGTAATAGTAGAGAAGCAGTTGCTTTTCCTTCCGAGTTGAAGACAACGTCAAGAGGTGTAAGCGAAAAAAAGAAAAGAAAGGACGTCTAAGAGAGGAAAGACTGCCTTAAAGGATATTTATTACGTAGTCTTGCATATGATAAACAAGTGGGAGATTTAGTGAAGAAATTACAGTAACAATCAGTATAAGGAAAAGTAGTTGTAAAGAAAAAAAAAAAAAGCGAAGAGATTCAGTGATGACCAAGATATACTTTGTAATGCACGATCGTCACATTTTTTTTTTTTTTTGTTTATGCGAGAAGGGTTTGCTGTATTCGTAACAAGAAGAACAGTAAAACGGTGCCCAAATGAATTGGGCGAATGTTTAGTAGAGAACAGTGAGTGCGCAAAGAGTTTTCCAGATATATCGCACCCAGTTCAGTTTTCAATTTTCCCCCTCACCCCCTCCCCCACCCCTTAATTTTGCTCCTATTTTTTAATTCTGTGTGTGTTTGAGTGAGTCTTTATTATGGTTATTGATAGTATTTTTCAGTAGTGGTAGTTTGAAACGATGTTAAGAGTGGCGAGTTGTGCTGGTTAACTTGGTGTTTGTCAGAGGAGTTTTATTATTATTATTATTATTATTATTATTATTATTGTTACTATTCTTATTTTATCACTCCTTCTTTACACACAAACACGCACGCACAGATTCAAGCAGAGGCAGAAATAGAAGCATAGGTATACATTTTCCTCTGCAGATGTGCGTGTGTCTTTGTTATACCAAGCAGAAAAAAAAAAAAAGGAAAAATAACGTCGTTTTTATTATTCATCAGAGTCTGTTTAGATACAAAAAAAAAAAAAAAAAACTACCGGTTCATTTGATTTAAAGTCACCTTTGCTTATTATTTCATCATCCCGTTTCAAAATATATTCCCTTTTGCTGTATTTGACACACCTTTGTGTGAATATGTGTGTGCAGTTTTCTTTTCCACGTTTTTTTTTTTTGTGTGTGTGTGTGCATGTGAAGTGAAGGTGAATAAAGTATATGTTGTAAATCTAATAAATATATATATTTATATGTATCTGTTTGAGCAAAGAAAAAGAAAAAAAAAGAAAACGAAAGTGACAGTGTCTACATCCCTTCTCTATTGGCGATGGTGGGTTCATTTCTCTGAAAACTAATGTTCTCTGCCATATACCCTTTTCCTAGAGCTGTTGGCTTGCCTAACTTTGTTGTGTGAAGGGTCCAATGGTTTTCGGTGTTGTTTTCACCGTTTTTTTTTTTTCTAATGATTTGTAATTATTCGTTCTCCATGTTTTTTTTTTTTTCCTTCTTTTGCTCTTCTTCTTTTAATTTGCTTTCCCTTCTCTCTAATTTGTGTTTTTGTTAAATTATTATTTTTTTCTTGTGTGATCTTGCAGCAGATACCTGTTCTCTTCCATGCCTTTTTTTTTATTCTTCACTGTATTTCTCTTTCCCCACTTTTTTTTCTTTTTCTTTTTTTTATTTATTTATCGTACCTATATATATATATGTTTAGCAGTCACCCGCAGGTACAGTACTCACAAGGGAGGGAGGAGGAAGGAGAGAAAGGAGAGTTTTCTCTCTGCAGCAGTTAATATCAACTGCATCCCGCCATCTCAACCCCTAGGCTCCAACCGAGTGAAGAGGAATACGGGGAAGAGTTCTCAACTTGTAGGGAGCAATACATACCCAACACAAAACCGAGTAATCAATCAACCAATCAATAGAGAAATATATATATATATATATATATATATATATATATATAGATACAAAAGAAAAGAAGAAAAGAAAAATATAGCGAAGTCATGGCCTCCCATCACTCCAATTCACCTGCTGCACACAAAGAAGAGCATGCCGCCCACAAAAGTGAAGATACGGATAGTGTCCTCAGCACCCGCCGGGCGTCTGCAGTGCGGGAGTACATCCGTAGTCTTCCGTCTGTCTTTGAGGGTGACGCGAGTCCACCATTCGTAGACGAGATGGTCCGCTTGGAAAGAGAACTAGCACACCTCGATAAGGATGAACTCAAACGTACCGTGATGTACAGAACACAACGCTGCAATGATGCACTACAGGAATTGCTTGAACAAGAACGATTGCTTTCTGACGCACTGGGGGAGGTACGTCATTTGGAGTTGAAGCTTCGGGAGAAGGAAGAAGATATGGAGATGTTGCGTGTACAGTTACAAACCTCTGATGATCATATTGAGTCACTTCTTCGTGAAAAGGCTGACGCCCTACGCAAGTTAACAGATGCAAAGAGTGAATTGGCACAAATTAGTAGAAAGGCAGCGAACCTACAGCGTGATCTGGACGCAAAAATAAAACGTGAGAAGGAACTCAATGACTCAATTGTCAGTACACCTCGAACCACGCCAGCAGATGCTAAATGTGCGTCTATGCACAGTTTACCCACCACCTCTGCAGATCAAATTATGGATGCTTGCCGAACCTCGGCCGAGCACGATGCAAGATTACACAGAGAACCCTCTCAAGATGGGCCAGTTAGAGTGGGGGTTTCAGATCGCTTTCCTCTCTCCGCAAGGAGAACACCAACCTCAACAACAGCTGCCGCAATGGCAATAACAGGAAGAGGAGGAGGAACAGCAGTATCAGGGACGACAGCCGGTACGAGCTCTGGAATAGATTTAGAGGCACGGAGGCGTTCCGTTCATGATGCGAGTGTGCGTGAGTCCGATGCTCAGGGAACGCCATTGGGGCAAAAGGGAGGTGTGTGTCCTCACTGTTCCGAGAAGATGAGTCCTTCCAGCAATAACGTTGAGCGCGTGGAGTGGCGTAAGCTTTTCTTTGAGAGTCAACGGCAGAATAAGTTTTTAGAGAAGGAGCTTGCCAAGGCGCGGGCGAGCAACGCGGGTGAGATCAGCATCGAGGCTCTCCTGCAGTCTTCAAAGGCCCATCCCCGCACTCCGGCGTACGACCTGCAGACACGACTGCGGCGCAGCATGGCGGAGTTGGAGCGTGTGGAGCGGGAACTCGGCGTCGAGCGGGAGCGCGGCCGCAAGCAGAGTCAGCTGGAGGTGCAGTTGCTGAAGGATGTTGGCCGCCTCGCACGCAAGCTGCGGGCTCACGAGAATGCGAAGAGTGCACTGCGGATACAGCAGCGCGCGGATGCGAGTCTCACGCGTGAGGAACTGTTGGAGGAGTTGAGCCGTTGTCGTGTTGCGGTGAGTGCGTTAACGGGAACCCCCATCGCTGGTGGTGTGAACAGCAATATGAGCAATGGCAACAGCACCAGCAATAGTAATATTGTCGCTGAGGCGGACATCACGGCGGAACTCGCCGCCGCACTGGAGGAGGCCCTCGCGGTGAATGAGACGCTGCGGGCGGAGAATGACTGCGTGCTTGCCGATAAGAAGATGCGGGAGGCGGCCTACGAGGCGGAGCTGCGCAATCGCATTGCAGAGATGGATGAACTCACCGCCGCCCTGCATGAACTGCGGGATCAGATGAAGTTGCTCAAACAGCAGCGTCCACTCTCCACCTCACACATCTCACCAAGGGAAAATGATACGCTAGACCGCACCACAACTTCAGTCTCAACAACACGAGAAATCGGAACAGGGAAAAACGGCGTTGCAAATGCCCTTCAGCAAAGAGAGATGCCGTTGCACATATTGTCTCCCAATAGGAATACTAATAGTAAAGCACATGGAGCAGAGAAGGGCAATGATGATACTGCAGCACCGTAATAGAGGAGACTCTACAGTTGTGTCAAACTGTTGTAAATATTTATGGGGAAGCAAAAAAAAAAAAAAAAAAATGGAAGGGACCACTCCCGTACACGCGCTGCTTTTGATTACACACATCTGACTCATGCGGCCTCTCTGCAGTAAGGAATAAAAAAAGAAAGAAAAGAGAAAAAACAAAATAACAATGAAAGAGTTTAGGAGCTGGAGAGAAAGAGGGGAATATATATATATATATATATATATATATATATATATATATATATCCAGAACCAATGGGATGTCTCTGCGTGAAGAAGATAAATTCGCGCACCGGATAAAGAAAAAAAAGCGAGTCAGACGATGTACTGCTATATGTATGGAAAGGCCTTTTTTTGGTTGTTGCAGTTTTAATGCTACCGTCTGTGTTTTATTATTATTATTATTATTATTATTATTATTATTATTATTATTATTATTATTATTATTATTATTTGTACTTCTTCTCTTATGTTGGGTGAAGAAATATCACTTCCTTTCTACCATTTAGTGAAGAAGTAAAAGAAAAAAAAGAAAAAGAAAAACGGAACTAAGAACACAAACACAAAACGGAGCCAAAGAGGAAACCATTTGCGGTGAGGTATTGGATCTTCCTTTAAAAAATACAATCTGCGTTCACACTTTTTTTTCTTTATTTCTTTCGGATGTTGTGTCTCTGCTCTTTTTTTTTTTTCTTAATTCTCCTTTATTTTTCTGTCTAACTAGTTTTCCTTTTTTTCTTGTTTTTTTTTTTTTTTTATCACTGTGTACGTCTTAATACGTGTTTGTACATGGATGTGTGTAGTCTGCTTTATTATGTGAACTGTTTTTTTTTTTTTTTTTTGTTTGTTTTCTTCTCTCTTTCGCTGTGGGGGTAGTCTATTTATTGTGAATAGGCGAAATCTCTCTCTTTCTCTCTCTCTCTCTTTTCTCCGTCTTTTCTTTCTTTTCTGATTTACTGTATCATCGTTACTTTTTTTATTTCTATTCTTTACTGTGTAGCGTAAGGCGGCAAAACACACAGTGAGAAGAATAAAGTGGAGAACGAAGATGAAATCGGAAGCAAATAAACAAATAAAAGGTGGAGAAAAAAAGAAAGATAGAAAAAGAAAGAAAGAAAAAAAAATAAGGCAAATTGTTTATTATTTTAGTATTATTATTTTAGTATTATTAATGAATGAGGAGGAGCGCATTAGAGGAGTAAAAGCAAAAAAGAAAAAAGAAGAGAACGAGGAGAATAGTAGAGAATTAGTGAAAAATAAAATAAAGTAAAGGAAAAAAAAAAACGATCGAGATCGAAGTGTGAAGTAAATAAAATGAAAAGTAAAATGCTTGAAAAGAAAAAAAAAAAAAAGTATGTGGTTACACACATATTTTGGGTAAACGTTTGTGTATACATGTACGATAATGAAATGAAATAGGTCATCCGAAAGAAAACAAACATCGTGGCTGTAAGCTTATGAAGGAACGTTGGCTTTTTTTTTTCCATATGTGTTTTTTTTTTTTATTTAGTCCTTGGCGTTCTTCTTTATAATTCTACATGCTCATTTTTTCTTTTTTTTTGTGATGATGTTATCTGTTACTGCTCTGTATAGTTTCTTTTTTTTTATTTATTTATGTTTTTTTTTTTTTAATTCTATCCTATCCTGAAATCTGAGGTGGGGGTGATGAGCGATAAAAGAAGAAAGAAATAATAATAGTAAAAAAAGACAGCAGTGAGTCTTTTTTTTTTGTATTTTATTTCCTTTGTTTCTGTTCTTTTTTTTTGGGTGTCTCTCTGGTTTTCTACTACGTATTTCTTCTCATTCTCTTTTCTCTTTTTTTTTCCCTCTTATTATTTATTATTATTTAATTATTATTATTATTATTATTATTATTATTATTATTATTATTATTATTATTAGTGGTTGTGGTGGTACTCTTTCTGAGGGTTTTTTTAGTGTTATCGTCTGAGTGTTTGTTGAGAAGATCCAACTCGCTTCGGACTTGCATGTGCGGTATTTAGAAGAGAGAGACCAACAGAGAGAGGCTCCGGGATTGTAGGATTGCGGTTTCCTGCAGAAGACCCACCCAGGAACAGAAGGTGGATTATTGAGAATACATCCGCATCTACACAGAGATCACATACATAGTAAAGGTGCTCAATCATTGTGGGGACAGCAATAATAACAGCAATAATAAAAATAATAATAATAATAATTACAAAGAAAAAGAAAAAAGAAGAATAAACAACAGAGAAACAGATACTAATGACGAATATAGAGTCACAAACATCGCTGAATGCCAGGCTTAGGAGCCTTATTCCCTCTCTACAGGAAGATCCAACAGAGGATGTTATCACCACTATACTTCTGCGCTGCTGCCAACAGTGGGGAATCACCACAGAGTCAGAGTTGTTGCTTCTGTTGGTGAGTGATGCGGCTTTTGTGCGAAGACGCTTGTTAACAGTTTTATCGCAAGAACATCGTCAACAGGCATTCTGGCGTCCTGCAGATGTTCAGAGACTTATTGAAAAGGTGCTACTTGTTATCAGTAGACATCATATCTCACAGAAACTTTTGTCAACATCAGTAAAGGTAGAGAGAGGAAATGATATCGCTTTAGCATCAAAAAGTGTAGCAGATATGCTTTTACCTGTTCCTGATTCTGAAGGGTCTATTTCAACCAGTTCTCTTCACAGTAACCCTTGTTTTTTTACAACAGGTTGTCCTTCTTTGGATTTACTACTAGCTGGTGTTAGTGGTGGAAGTGGTAAGAATGATTGTGAAAAAGATTCCAACAATAATAACGCCTTTGAAGGAGGGTTTCGTGCGGGTCTGTTGACAGAAGTCTACGGAGAAGCAGGAAGTGGGAAGACGCAGTTGGTCTTGCAATCTCTATTTCACTGTGTCGCCCGACAGCAGTGCGAGCAGTGCTATCTCAATAGAATACAAAAAAACTCTACAGATGAGTCTACAAGCGGTGTGGCCGCATTATATATTGTTTCTGAAGATTTCCCAGCGTCTCGTCTTAATTCCTTGGCGGCGGGTGCACTAGAGAGAGAAAAGGAAAGAGCCATTCGCACAGTTTCTCATCTTCCCTCATCCACTGTGGCACATTTCAAACTGTACCTGGATGAGACCATAAATGTGCGGTCTGTTATGGCTGGAATGCACATTCGTCGTATCGCCGGTTTAAAGGATTTACTGCAGATGCTTCGCGATGGTACATTATCCAATGCGTTTCACATGTTGGGCAATCGTGGGTTAGTTGTGGTGGACTCCATCGCAGGAGCTGCAGTGACGACTACTGGTGAGGGCGTTGATATGAGTGTTGTTTCTTCTTCCGCGGCTGAGGTGCTGGCGGTGGGATCGCTTCTGAAGGCATTCGCAGTCCAATATGGAGCGGCGGTTGTGGTGACCAATCAAGTCCGTGCACAATTATCATCATCATCATCCACTAATAATACTACTACTATATCTACTACCACTACTACTACTACTACTACTGCTGCTTTTAGTACAGCATACAGTTCGTCTGCAGCAGTGGTGCCTGCGTTAGGCCTCTCATGGTCATTAGCACCGCACGTGAGAGTGCAACTCCGTCGCTCGGCGACTAGCGCTGCTGCACCTGTTGGAACGCATGCTTCCTCTGCGGTGATGACGGCAGAGCGGCGGCTCACAGTACTCTCAGGCCCCGCAAACCCACCCGTGTATGGTGTGTACACAATTACAACAGATGGTATTCGATGCGATTCTTGACAGTAAAGAGGGAAAAGGGGTGGGGGATTATAAATGAAACTGAAAAAGAGTACAATAACGAGAGAAAAAGAGACGTGAAGAGAATAAAGGTTTGTCAGAAATGTGTTGTCCATATATGGAGACGTTGTGTATATTACCTTTTTTTTGTGTGAGTGTGTGTGTGTCTCTCTCTCTCTTTTTTTTTTTTTTTACTTTTTTTTTTCCACTCACTAACTAACCGTACTTCTTGTGTGGCTCTGTTCAGATTCTTTTCTCTTTTATTCACTGTATCTAATTATTTCTTACCCCTCAAATATATTTTCTTTTCTAATTCTTATTGATTTTTTTTTTATTGTTTCTGAAACCAAAAAAAAAAAAAAAAAAACAAAGAAACAGAACCAACATTCTTATTGAACCATTACAAAAACATTCGTTTTTTATCTCTTTCACTAGAAAGTTGTGGGTTCGGTTTTCCTTTTGATCCTATTTTCGTACTTTCTTATTGTTGCTATTATTCTGTTGTTGTTATTTTTTGGTTTCTTCATGACTTGGCGAAAATGGATGTACCGGGCACCTTTGCAGATGCATTTGCTCCTTGCCTATACTGCTGTGCTCTCTCTTCTGCTGTTACAACCCGTAGTGGCAGAGGTGAAGGGAAAGACTTATTCGAGACTAGTTGCATTCGCTGATTTACACGGTGATGTGTACAACTGTCGTTTGCTGCTGCGCGCGGCAAACATTACCGACGCACACGACCGCTGGATTGCCGGCAACTCTACTGTTGTACAGTTGGGTGACATTGCCGATAGAGGACGGCATAGTCATGAGATTTATGATCTATTTGCATCACTAGAGACACAAGCTGCAGAGGCAGGTGGAGAATTTATTTTCCTCGTTGGTAATCATGAACTAATGAACCTTCTGGGGGACTATGCATATGTACATGAAGACATGATAAAGGTGTTTGGAGGAAAAACCGAATACTCTGTCGCTTTTAGTCCCAAAGGTGCTTATGGATCCTACATTATGCAGCATCAAGTAGTATTAGTACGTGGGGGTGTAGTGTTTGCCCATGGTGGTATTACCCCTGTTTATGCGGCCAAAGGCGTTGATGGCATTAACGCTGAATTCCACAATGGATTTAACTGCCAGCGCCAGCGCGAGAGTGCGGCTGCCGGTGATGGCGGCTCCCACGCGTGCCACCCCTTCAGCAACGCCGAGAGCCCCGTGTGGAGCCGGCAGCTGATCTACGAGGGGCAGCAGGGGAACTGCGGGCTTCTCACGGAGTCGCTGCGGCTCCTCTCCGCGGCGGAGCGGGCGGCCGGGCGCCCCCCCGTCCACGCGATGGTCGTCGGCCACACCATTCAGGCCGGCGGCGCCATCGCCCTCCTCTGCGGCGGCCGCCTCGTCGCTGCGGACGTCGGCCTCAGCCGCTACGCGTGGGCCGGCGGCGGCCATGCGGCCTTCGTCGAGTTCCCGCCGCCGCAGCGCCGGCCGGTGCCGCACTACCCGTACGGTGTCGGCGTGCGCCCAGCCGCCGCGGTGCCCCTCACGCAGGCCATACAACCACCCCGCCGCACCCACACACAACAACAAGCACTGAAGGAGCAGCACCAGGATGGGGAAATACCGCAACCTCAACCAGAACCAGAACAAGAGAAACAGGAAGAGGAAATAGAAGAACCACACGAGCAAAAAGCACCGATTGTTATGGGTGCATCATCATCATCATTCGTGGGTAGAAGTGTAGAAACACCACATATCCGGTTAGTGGATTATGTGTTCCTGTTCGTCCTGCTTGCACTTGTGGGGTCACTTTTCGTATTAAAGAAGTGGAGGTCACTCCTGAGAGATTTTCGTGTCAATCTAAAAGAAACATAATGTGTAAACGCCACTGCATTTTTTCTTCGTGTACCATGTTTTTTTTTTTTCTTTTCTGTCTGCCTCCCTCCCTCCCTCCCTCCCTCCCCTTGTTAAACTTTTGCTTCACCTCTGGAGCGGTTATTTTGTCCATTCATGTATACACATCTGTGCAGAGCAATTACAGACAAAGTAAGTATAACTCATGCACAAAGGAGGGATAAAAAGAAAGGAAAAAAAAAAAAAAAAAAACAAGAACGAAGAGCAGGCGACACATTTCAGTGTGCTTTACAAAGTATATATATATATATATGTAGCATTCCTTGTGATCCTTTCATGGGCTCTTGAGTCTCGGTGTCTTTTTTTTTCATTTTGTCAGCAGCCGTGGGTTTTCTGAAAATTTTTTTTTTTTTGTTCTATTCGTAATTTCTTGCTTCATCAATTGCTTGCCGGCACTCCCCGTTTTTTTTCCTGTTTTTTTGACTGCTTTCACATATTGGGGTAAAGAGAGAGAGAAAAAAAGACTTTTCTTTCTTGCAGTCTATGTCTTAATAACAGTAATATTCATTACAAATAATAATAGGAAAAAAAAAATAATAAGTGCTCTTTTCTCGCTTCTTTTTTTCCCTCCTTCATTTTTTCCTTTCTCTACAATTGCTGATATGGAAAAGTAAATAAGTTACTTTTGGGGTGGGGTTGCAGTTTTATTAATATATTTATTTTATTCCTTGTTAGTATTATTAGTGACCCACAAGAGCACACACACACACACATACACATACATACCAAAAAGAAAAAAAAAAAAAGAAATGCTCTCGCAAAATGTTGCCAAATCGACGGTTCCGTCGTATTACATGATTCGTACGAATCTCCCTCAACGGAAACCACTAAATCAATGGGAAGGTGTTTATTACTACAGCGGTATTAGTAAACGTCAACGTCACCTTATCTTGTTACAAAGAAAGCGTGACCGGGAGGCACATATGCGTTTATTTAATTTCTCTAGAGAGAATGTACTACGAGGACTAGATGCTAATTCCAAAAAACAGCAACAACTCGCTACACCAAATACTCAATTAGAATTTGCGATTCAATTGGCGCAACATGGTTTATATCAAGAGGCAAGTCTTATAGTAAATGAATTGCACCAACAACGTGCACTTTGTGCGAATCAGTATGTTCTTTTTATAGATGCTTTAGCAGCTCCTCGTTTAAGAGAACGTATTCTACATTGTGATGCACAATGTGATCCCACCTTGACGTACAAATTTATTGGAGATGAAAATGGCGAAGAACGGGCACAAGAGGCACACCGGTGGTTTAATATGGCTTTTACTTCACTGGATATGGAATGTCGATCAAGAGGTCATCATATTCCACAAGGAACATCCACAGCTACACATCTTGTGAATGCATTAATGCGTACTCTACTAACATGTGGATATACTCATGTTGCTGCAGTGCCGGATGCTATTTATGATCGCATGGGTGCGATGGGCATCTCACCTACTATCACTACTTATGAATTGGTGATGCTCGCCCTATCACTGCAGGGTAATACCAAAGAAGCAGAGAGTGTCTTTTCATTTCTGCGTAGTCATCACAATGAACATGTAACAATTGGTAGCTTCAACGCACTTCTTTTGGGTCACCGTGAGTGTCGTGAGTATGATCGTTGCGATGCTCTTTGGCAAGAATTAGTGGATCGCCGCTGGCCTCGGGCGTGTGGACTGACGGCGGAGTTGTACCTGCGCAGTATTATAGATCACTCCTACACACCGACGAGTGCCCCACTACAGCGGTTTGGTAATATTAACGCGGTGGAGAAGAAAAAGGTCCCACTCGTCCTGGCGCAGATGGACGATCTCGGCATTCCACGCACGCACCTCTCGCGTCCCCTCACAGACGAGGTCGAAGACGCACTGCGCCGCTTCCGACTTTATCGCTCGCGGCACTACGAGTGGGGACGGGCGGTGAAGCAATTCGACTTTATTGAGTTCCGCCGCCGCAATGGCTGGATGTATGATCTCCATCTCATGAAGAACACCACCAAGCAGGTCGGACCGCTGCGGGATCCCACTCAGCCAGATGCCTCGCAGGTTGCTGTTGCCACAGTGGAACTTCCTGCGTTCTTTAATGATCGCCCAGCGTGGGAGCAGCCGCCGCTCGCGGAGTTGTTGCAAGTTACAGAAACACGTGAACGACATGATGATGTGCGGGCAGGGGATATTTATTACGATGATACTCGCTCTGTACATGACCGTTCCCCAACATGGATGAATGAAGTTCCAGAAACCCGCTACGACCGACTGTACGGTGTGAACCAGCCGGATATCGCAAAGATCGGCATTCGACGACACCTCAACACGGAGTACGTTAATCGCGCCGAGGTAGTGGAGCGCGACGCAGCGCTTATGAAGAAAACACGCAGCAGTGGTAGGCGTCTTCGACAAAAGGTGGAACTCGCACGTACACACCGGAACGCAGCCAACAGTACATCAGCAGCTGTGGCTTCATCATCTACAATGTCACGGTAGGATATCTCGGATGAGCTGTAATGTTGTAGTTTGTCTTGTGTGTGTTTTATCCATTACAAGGGCTCTCTCACATTTGTTTGTTTGTTTAGTTTCGTCGGCTGTTTATCCTTGTTTTTGGATTATTATTATTATTATTATTAATTAGTGTTCTTCTCGTACTTGTTGTTGCAGCTATTATTATTAATATTATTAAATATTAAATGTTGTTTGGTGATATTGTTGTGGTTGTTGTTCTTGTTGTAGCAAACTAGATGGAGGGTGCGGACTTGCATTTGTCTGCTCATTGATTTCACGCCTTACTTTTGGCGTTTCAATCCTTAAATGAATTCTTGAGCTTACTTACTTGCCTTTACGTTAATTCTTTTTTTTTTTCTTTTCTTTTTTAAATCGTTTTCACTTGTCACTTTTTTTTTTTTTTCTTCTTTGAATGCTAATGTTGTTGGTTTTTATTCTTTTTTTTTTATTCTATCTAATTTTATCTTTAGTAGCATCACCGGCGTCAAGAGTTTTTTTTTTTTTGTTTTTGTTGGAATCTGTAGTGCTCCTAGAAGCGAAGGTTGTGACCTAAGAAAGGTACACACAGTATTGGGGAAACAGATATAAAAAAAAAGAAAGAAAGGAGGGAAAGGGAGAGAGAGAGAGAGAGGGAGACCACAGATTTATTATTCCATATTATATATTATATATATATATATATATATATATATATACACTTAGTAGCCTATTTATATTACTTTCAGCGTACACGATGGGACGAGGCAAAGGACGTGCGAAGGGCATTGATGTGACGAAACACATTTTTCAGCCCAGCGGCCCGTCGGATCTCATTTCTGTGCGGATATCCCCCGCGGAGGTCATTCACGTGCTGGAGGAGGACCTCAGCCCCACGGAGGGGAGCGTCGCCGCCTTCGCCCTCAAGCGGGAGGGGCGGATGGAGGCCCCCGTGAAGTTGTGCGCCAACTGGCGACAGGGCGCCTGCCACAGTTACGCCGCCTGCAGCAACGCCCACGTGAAGGCGTACTTTGACAGTCCCGTGCTGCCGGCCGTAGGGAATAATAACAATAATAATAATAACAACAACAACAACAATAACAACAACTCCACACCACTGGGAAGCCCCGTGCAGCGAGCACGTGAGGATTGGAGTCACCTTACCTTGCAGCAACAACAACATCATCATCACTCCCACAGTAACCACCAGCATCAACAACAACAACAACAACAGCCAAATAGCAATTCGTCAGATCCAGCCCGTCTGTCTGATCACAAGACTTCTTCTACTATTTCACACAGTACACCAATACCTGTACCGAGAAGTCAACAAGTTAACAGACTGACACCTAATACAACGGGTTCCTCCGCTATTCTGGGTACTCCCAACACTGGGATACAATGGAGCCGTAAAGTTTTGGGGAATGGTATTCAGCAAGGAAATTATCCACAACAGCATTCACTACAGAAACCACTGCAGACGCATGAAATAATACAACAACAACAACAGTATGTAGTTTCACAAACTCGGGGAAGCTGGGGTGGTCAAAAAGTTTCTGATGATATTAACTGGGTGACGACCAATGGTACAACAGTAGTGGACACCTTTTTAGAGGCCGCCTCACATAAGCAACATGGAAAAAATGAACTAACAAGGAATGATGTTCACTATGGTTCCAGTAATAAAAACAATATCATCGCCTCCACCAGAAATAATAATAGCAACAGCAACAACAGCAGCAATAATGTTTTTGCTTCCTCCAATAGTGGAAATGGGGTTCACTTAACTGGACCAGAGAATGCTACTGGAAGTCTCATAGATGATGTATGGGCTACTTCGGGACTTGAACAAAATAGTGTTTGTGATGCTACCTGGTGTGTTGGGGGCTCTGAAGGGTGGGATCTGCACCCCTCTGGTATATTATCAGGAGAATCAACAGGAGGGGTAACCGCAACGCCAGCAACCGTAACGACAACCGTAACTCCAGTAACCATGACGGCATCCACAACTAGGTCATTAGGCACAGGAGCAGTAACGATGGATGGGGCATCAGTTTTTATGGGACATGAATTAAATGTAACAAATTCAGTGGCCTCGCGTGGGGATCTCTGGGGTTCATTTTCTGCCAGTAATACTCTCTCTGTAGGAAGTAGTAACAGAAATGCTGGAATAACATCCCCCTCTGAAGCGCTTAAAAATCAATTACTACGCGAGTTAGTTGGAGCTGGTAATGATACTACCGATCCCTCTTCTATGTTAGACTCCGTGCACTGCGACAGTCGAACAAACTTGCAGGCGAGCAGTTGTTTCTCTTACCCAGAAAGTGGTAAAACAACCTCCGAGTTCTTATCTTTGTTAGGTGGGAGTGAAGAGAAGACCTCCGCCAGCAGTGTCATCTCCGCACAGTTACAGAATCCCTCTACTGTAGAACAGCTTATGTTGCTTCTTACTACAGAGGAACCAGGTGAAGCAAAGAAGTAAACTTGTGTTATGTATGTATTTCATAGAATATATATATATATATATATATATGCTTAAATTAAGTGAATGACGCACACACGCACACAAATACACACACGCGCAGACAGAGATACACATAAACTAAGGGAGGGAGGGAGAGAGAGAGATGGAGGGAGTAAAGATGAGCGAATGATTTAGAAATAAAAGGGATAGAAGAGAAATTTAGAGGTGAGTAGAGACTATATTTTTCTTCACAGTCTGATTATGTGGTACTACGAAGTGACATCTAATGGTTTTGATCTCTTTATTTTTGTTGGGGTAGAAATGTTGATGGGATTTCATTTACTTCCTCCCTCTCCCTATACCCCGAACAGATAGGTGCATTTATCTGTTGTTGGATGCTTTGTCATTACTGCTTCTAGGTGGTGTGAAACAGGTGGCGGTTTTTTGTTTTTATTTGATAATGTTTTCCATGAATGTTTTTTTTTTGTTGTTTCGATTGCGTTTGTGTTTGTGTTTGTGTGTTTGTTTTGAATGCACAGTGATGAAGGAAAGAAAATAGAGTAAAGAAAAGAAAAAAAAAAAGAAAGGAAGAAAACAGTGACAAGAAGAACAATGAAGGAAAGAGAAAGCGAGAGAGAAAAAGAAAGAGAATTAAAAGTAAAATAAAAGAAAACAAAACCAGAAATGTGAAAAATGAGAGTGGAGGTATTTATTGTTTCTGCAATGTGTGTAACGATAAGAAACGAACGTGCAAGATACAATCTACTATATACAGTCACAAATTTATATATATATATGTGCGTCGCGTAACGATAATATATATGTACATATATGTATATGTATATATATATATATATATACACTTTTTACCTGTATATAGTGTTTCGTTGAGCATATTGTTTCATCTTTTATTGCTACTCTTGTTTTTTTTTTTTTTTAATGACCTGTTGATTTTGCTGAATATTTCCTTTTTTTTTTATTATGGTTGGACGTTGACTGTAGGACAATGCAAGAGAGAAAAGAAAAATTTTTTTGTTTTTGGTGCTTCTCTTTCTGTCTTTGCGTGAGTAAAGACTTGCGGCAATAGTGTACTTCTCCTATAGAGGAAGATAGTGGAATACAAAACTCTACTACCGCATTATTGTTCACTTCTTATATTTGTTTTTATCCAACCTTTTTAAATATTTTGCTTTTTCCTTCTATTTTATCTTATTATGCGTGGGCATTTGCTCCGTGTATTATCACTATTAGGATGATATGTGTTTATTTATTTTTTGCTTTGCATTTTCCTTCTCTGTTCTTCTTCTTTTTTTTTTTTTTTTTTTTTTTCTATTCTTATTGCCGGTATTATTATCGTTGATAAGAGAATTATTATTATTATTACTATTACCTCTCCACGTGAAACAGACTAGTGCCAGTGGAAAGGTCGTCCGCTGTAATCATTATAGGGAAATAGGAGAATCAAAAAGGGGAAAAAAGGGAAAAAATAAAAAAAAAAGGATAAAGACTACTTCACACAATACCTTTAAGAGAGTTTTAAAGGGACGCGTGGCGTTATTACTATTATCATTATTTATTTTTTTATTTTTTAATAAACCCCAAGGATATCTTCTCTTTTTTGTTTTTTTTTTCATTTGTGGAATTTTTTTTTTTCATATTTGTGTGGTTTGGCCCGTTATTCTTCTTAATCGTGGCACTTCTGTAAAAAAAAA